TTAGAATTGGGTAATTTACGCGCCTGCTGCCTTCCTTAGATGTGGTAGCTATTTCTCAGGCTCCCTCTCCGGAATCGAACTCTAATTCCCCGTTACCCGTCATAGCCATGTTAGGCCAATACCCTAACATCAAAAGCTGATAGGTCAGAAACTCGATTGATACACACTAAAAAATGGAAAATCCATTTACGTGTTGCTTCTTTGTTATAATTCCTTAAGTTAATAACTTTTTTCTTAAAAGGCTTAACAAGTACACACTCAAGAACTTAATCAAGAGTGCTAAAGCAAGTATTAGCTACAGCTTTTCCGTAGTTATCCTTATAGAAAAAATGTCAAGTAGATTATAACTGTTTTAATGAGCCGTTCGCAGTCTCTGCATATAAACATATGCATGTACTTTCACTTGCATGGCTTAATCTTTGAGACAAGCATATGACTACTGGCAAGATCAACCAGGTTACTATATATGTATACGATTTTGCACAGCATCGTTTGTTAAGTAATGATAACCTTTACGTTTTAGCAAGCAGAATGACTAAGGAAACAACTAATCTGCATAGCTCTGTCACATAATACAAACTACATTGCTAAAAGTTATCATCATTAAAGCAAACAATTTCTAATGGTGCAATTTATACATAATAGACTTATACATTTTTTGGGGTAGGTTAAGAAAAAAAGTCTACCAAAAAATACATTTGACGTTTTATACATCATATTGTACGCTTATGAATTCGGTGTTAAATTATGCTTCTCAGCCTTGGCTGATTATAATTATAACACAAATCGTATGTGCACCCGGTAAAAACTACATATAGTGTGACAATGATGTGGCATAATATCGTATATACATATATATTTATATGCATATACCACATTACGCATCGATTGACTTCATATGAAATCAGATACTCGTGATACGTTGAAGAAAATGTTGAACAAATTATTATGTTATAAAAACAGAGTGTACATGAACAGATTAAGCTTCTAACACATAGTGTATTATATTCCTATTCATAGTTATAAATGATTATGAAGAAAAACAAGGTGTTTATTACATAAAGGCTCCCTATCCATGTAATAGAAAAGCCTTATATCGTGTATGGTTCAGCTTTACAGGCCTTGGAGGGTGATTCATTATGATCATAGTATACATGGAATCAAGCAAAAAGAATACTACCTATCACAGAAGATAAACCATTCGCCTGATTGTACTACACCTTTCTAAAAGTATACATATGTAGACAATTTAAATGGGCATGTAATGCATATTGCATCACATCGCGCATTCAGTTTAGAAGATTGAAGAAATTGCATCACATTGCATTGATTAATGCATAATGAATACACAAGCATGAAATGAAGGTATCTATACGAAGAGATGAGCATATGTGTACAAGAAATGAAGGTATCAGTACGAAGAAATGAGCATATGTTTACCAAAAATGAAGGTATCTGTAGAAGAGATGAGCATATGTGTACCAGAAATGAAGGTATGTGTACCAAGCGATGAAGGTATGTGTACCAAGCGATGAAGGTATGTGTACCAAGCGATGAAGATAACTGTACGAAGCGATGAAGATAACTGTACGAAGCGATGAAGATATCTGTACGAAGCGATGAAGATATTTCTATCAATAAATGGAATTGTCCTTAAGACCTCTTATATATTTTATTCCAAGGCATCTAATTTTTGAATACACATTATAAAGCTAAAACGGGCTTGATATATGCAAGTAAATGTAAAAATAGCAACATAATCAATATGCATGCTACATTTGACTACACATTTTGATAACATCTTTACAGCGACTTATTTGCATTAAGCAATTCCTCATAGATGAAAAGACCTTTATATTCCAAAAATTACCCTACATTTCGTAATACTTACCCTATGACCATAATAAGGAC